TCTAAAGCACCTACTTAGAACAAGCTTAGCAAAGCACAGAGACCGCGGTTCAATCCCCCAGCACCACATGCCAGCCAGCCCCGCCCCCTGGTGGGCTGAGCTGGCCACACACACACACATACACACACACAAATAAATAAATCAATTTTAAAAAAAATTAAACAAAAAAGAAAATAAAATCTTTAGACTATTAAACTTTGGGCAGCTTAACCTTATAGTCAAATCACTTAGTGGGAGTGAATGGAGGGAATCAAAATTATAACAGACTTTTCCACAGAAACTTTCAAAGACAAAATACCCTGAAACAAAACACTTCAAAAGTTCAAGAATTTTAGCACCTGCTTAGGTAGGTGCAGGGACTAGGGTTCGATCCACAGCATGCCATGCCACCGCACCCCCTCTTCCCTCGGGGCCCACTAAGGCAGTGAATGAGACTGGGTGAGGTGGCACGAACCTATAATTCCAGTGCTTGGGAAGCTGAAACCAAGAGGATCACTATGAGTCCGATCTGTGTAGTGACACCTTGTAGACTCTGTACTAACTATATTTTTTTAAAAAAGAACTTAAGACTTTTCAAGTATGTGGGCTGGGGACATAGCTCAGTGGTATACAAGGCTTACTTAATCTGGATTTGATTCCCAACACTAGGAAAAAAAAAAAGGAAGAATTTTCTTTCTTTCATTTATTTATTTCAGGGATTGAATTCAGGACCTTGTGCTTGCCAGGTAGGCACTTACGCCACTGAGCTATCTCCCCAGCCCCAGAATTTTCAAATATAAAGGTCACACTTTTGACAATGTGAGAAAATTTACGGAATACCGTATATCTATATGAATGCTTTTTAGGAACCTACTAGAAGACATCTGAGAAATTACAGGAGAAACTTAAAAAAATTAGCAGTAAGCACAAATCCAAGACAGAGATATACATAAAAGAATGAAATGTATAAATCCCCCATGATGAATGTAATCACTATATACTGCAAACATATACTAGTAAAAATAAAACAATGAAACAAATGATGTAATTTACACAAATGAGAGGAAAAAGGGCAAGAAGACAGAGAGTAGAACCAATGCCAAGCCTCCCAGGTCTTATCTCTCTCACCTGGGGGAGGGGGTGTGTCAATGATAACTAAGTGGAAGTTTCAGCATACTTAAGAAGTACCATCATGCAAAGACAGTATTATTGAGATTAGGTCATGAAGGAGGATGCAGAAGAAAGGAGAAAATAGACTTTAGAAAGCAGGGCCTAGGTTACATATTCTAGAGGAATAAGTATAACAAAATAAAAATACAAACCTAAGTATGAGAGTAACCTTTATTTTTAAAACGAAGGTACTGGGGCTGGGGAGATAGCTCAGTGGCATAAGCGCATGCCTGGCAAGCGCAAGGTCCAGAGTTTGATCCCCAGACCGTGGGGGAAAAACTAAATAAAAATAAAAAGAAGGTATTGCTGAGAGCAAGATAAGTAGAGATCTATAGGCTAGGCAGATTTCTTTGATTGTAATGCATTCCCCAACAGCCTTGTCCTTTTGGAACTATAACTGGTCTTAACAGAAGGAAATCCAGACCTTTCTGATACTTAAGATTTCTAAAAAAAAAAAAAAAAAAGATTTCAAATGTGCCAAGCACTCAAAACTAAGGTACAAAGTGTTTCTAAATGAACAGAAATAAATCAGTCACCAATGCAAACTGTCTTTGAAGAATTTTATTAAATATGCTTTAAGGGTGTTGAATATCTCGTATTTACCAATGAATGAGATCATAATTAAAGCCTAGTAATCAGTTGTCTGCATTGTAAAACAAAAACTGTTTTATAAATATGAAAAATCAACAGTTCTCGTATTTTTAAGGCACAGAAGCTACTGCTGAGAACCTCGGGTGACTATTTGGTTAACATGTACACTGTTAACATCGTCTATGTTTTTATTATTATTATATATTCTCTTTAAAAAATAAAAAAAGAGGGCTGGCCAGATAGCTCAGTGGAGTAAAGCATCAGCTTAGGCAGACGCAGG